AGAGAGAGAGAGAGAGAGAGAGAGAGAGAGAGAGAGAGTTGGGGTCTGCAGCAGACACCAGCAGCGTTCTGGTGGGAATGCCTATCTCTATACCTTTCCTACCAGTCCCTGCTTCCCAACTGTCTATCTCATGTCCTCTGAACAGGATGTGTGAGATCCTCTTTCACAATGGGCATGAACCATCTGGCACAATTCAGCAGCGAGATCTGCTGAAGACTCCCCAGCAAAGGACACCTAGCCCTTCAGCTGAAGTCTCAGACACACTGGGACTGTTGCCATGGAATTTCATAAACCTTTTTTTTTTCTTGAGACAGACATCATGCTACAAATCGAGCTAAGCCATTTGCGAGTCAGAGGTGGAACGTTTTAATTACTGGCAGTGCATAAATGAGTTGAGTGAAAGCTGAATCCATAAACCCTTTAGAAATAAAACACTAATCTACCAGAAATTTGGGATTCTTGGCCCTGGCAGAAATGTTCATAAAGCTAGCTCCTAATTTGTAAGTTGCCTTTGTGAAATTGGCCCTGGAAGCAGAATCCATTTTCCCTAACACAAGTTCTAAAAAAAAAGGAAAGAAAGAAAGGAAAAGACTCTGGCAAACAGCTGCAGATGCCAATTTGTGTGCACACTTTGGGCAAGATCAAAATACTTTCCTGTGTTTCGTTCCTGCTCACTGTGTTCTTCACATTCATGACCCAGTGGTTAAAGGAAAAACTTAACACACTTGCATTTTCACACCAAAGAAATGTGAAACATATTTTCATATATAGACTTTTCTGCCAATACCCATACATCAAGAGGTCTAAAACACAACTTGTGGTTACTGTATAATCACGCATCAAAACGGGAAGAGACTTTCAAGACAGTCTAAAAAAATTTTTTTGGACCTTTTTGAGACAGGGTCTCTTGTAGCCCCAGAGAGGAAATTTAGTTTTTAAGAGTTAAATGATTTATACAGCTGGGCATGGTGGTACATGCCTTTAATCCCAACACTCCAGAGGCAGAGGCGGGCAGATCTCTGTGAGTCCCAGGCCAGCCTGGTCTACATAGTGAGCTCCAGGACAGGTGGGGCTACAGGGAGACCTTGTCTCAAAAAGACCAAAATTAAAAAAAAAAAAATGATTTGTACCGAATTACACACTTAGAAGCAAATATGGACTCAGCAAACAAGTGTTGAGACCTCTATTCCAGGGCTGATTTTAAAAGGAAGAACAGCTCTTCCTGATGCCCTGTATAGTGACAAAGATGACTGGTCCATCTACAGAATAAAATCAAACTTTAAAGAATTTTTGTGGTGGCGCATGCCTTTAATCCCAGCACTCGGGAGGCAGAGGCAGGTGGATCTCTGTGAGTTCAAGGCCAGTCTGGTCTACATAGCGAGTTCCAGCCCAGCTGGGGGCTACAGGGAGACCCTGTTTCCAAAAAGAAAAAAAAAGGGCTGGGTGTGGTGGTGCACACCTTTAATCCCAGCACTCAAGAGGCAGAGGCAGGCGGATCTCTATGGGTTCAAGGCCAGCCTGGTCTATATGAGTTCCAGGCCAGCTGGGACTTACAGGGAGACCCTGTCTCAAAAAGATGAAAAAAAAAAAACAAAACAAAAAACCCAAAAAAACCCTCCAAAAAACCCACAAAGCAAAACAAAAACACGGGCAATACATTCATACACACAAAATAAAAATAATTAAAAAAGGAGAATTATAGTGGATTGCAGCAACTCCAGTTTAAGATGGCAAAAATACAAAAATATGATGGTATATACCTATAATCTAAGCACTTAGTAGGCTAAGGAAGGAGGATCAGGCATTCAGGCCAGCCTCATCTACATAGTGAGCTTGAGGCCAACCTGGACTCCATGAGACCCTGTTTTAAAATACAAAACAAAAACAAAAATAAAAGCCACACATGCCTAATCTAGGAGAATTGTGTCCTTAAAACAGCTGGATCTAAACAAAACACGTGGCACCTGTCTCTGATTTCTGTCCTATGGGGCAGGAGAGGTAGTACATTTTGGATCATGTGCGTGTGCGTGCATGTGTCTGAAATTATTTTCCAAATTTTCTTTGGGTCTTCAACCAGTATGCGTGAAGGAGTCTAGAACTCTCAGTAGCTGGGCACTCTTCCTGTCTGTGCTGCCAGATTGTGTCCCCTACACACCTGCTCTGCCGATCTTTCTTTTCCTCCTTTTTCTTTACTTTTTTTCTGGCACTGTGGACTGAACCCCACAAGCACACCGAGTTTCACTGATGCTCAATATATAAAAGCATCAGTTTTTCTGGCATAGAATTTCTCCCACAGACAACTGGCTTAGTCCAAAGCAGCTCAGCTTTTCCTGGTGATGGGCAGGTAAAGGGTAAAGCAGAAGGGTCCTCGGAGGACTTTGGCTTGCTTGTGTAGCAAGAAGTGAATCTGAAGCTCTGGGACTGGGATCTTCCACAACTGACAGCAGGCACTTATTGAATGGCTGGTCTTTCCTGACTCTTAGACTGTGAAGGGATGGGGAGATTATGTCCTAACCCTTCTGACTTGCGTTGGTGCCCAAGGGCAAGGGCAGCTGGTCAGCTCCTCTTTGTGGATCTGGGCATAGGATCAAAACGCTTTTCCACATAGGGCTGTGCAGCCCAAAGAAAGTCTCATGCAGCATGACTGGGGGACTGTTCCGATAGGCAGCAAACTCCAGTGGATAGCTGTCTCGTGCTACAAAAGATAATGGACTAGATATTTCTTTGGTTTTGAAATCCCATCAAATTCAACTGATGGGAAACAAAGGCTTCACAAAGTAACATGATAGAGTTGCGAACAGTTTCTGAATGAAGACACTGTTTCTCCTGCTGCACATGCGAACATAACTCTGGATGCTAAAAACACTGTGGGCAGAACTGTGGGCTTGAGTGCAGTCTACTAGGTGGGGTTATTTTTAGTTTTTAAAAATGATGTTGAATCCTTAGGACTGAGCTTGAAGACCGATGCTCACTTCAGCATGGCTCTGTGTTCTCCTCTGGCGATGTGAGAGGAGAACTCATAACGATCGTGGCTTCGATATCCACACATGTTACACTCGAAAGGGTCACGGAAGCCGTGGCACCCCATGTGGATGGTGAACATCACATAATCCAGGAAGAGGACGCGACAGTGGTCACACCGAAACACATCCATCACCTCCCCTTCTTTGTTGATCACTTTGATGGAGTCTCTTGGGCAGATGGGAGGGGGCTTGAAGAGTTCGAAAGAACGGGGGATATCCTTCAGAAGTGGCATCCCGTTTCGGGCCCGGGGAAGGACCATGTGGCTTTGCTGGTAGATGTGATTCTGGCGTTCCTCATGGTTGCTGTCTGTGTCTGTGGAGTCGTGGCCACTGTTATTGGGGGACAGGCCTCTTTCAGAAGGCAGGTTCTTCTCTGGCAGGTGAATGCTCTTCTTTTCCAGGTCCTGCGGGGCCCCGTTGGGCATCTCAGCCCTGGTAAGGGCTATGGGATACATGCTGCTGATAACTGGGACCATCTCGGAGGTGGGAGCAGGTGGGGTCTGGACTAAGGGGCGCAGGGCTTCGGCACCGAGATAGCTGATGGCGTTATTGATGGCTTGGTCCATCATCCGGGTCTGCATCATCTCACTCTCCTTCTCGTACATGTAGCTGGAATTGTAGTTGATGTCAAAACAGTGGCGCTTTTCACCTGGAAGAAGAGAGGAGGGTTACAGAGAAAGCCACACCAAGGAGAGAGTGAGGGAAAGTGTTCTCCAGAGTCTCCAAAAGTGAGGAAGGGTAAGCTGTTGCTGCTACTCACGTGCACCCAGCCATGGCAGGCTTGGTTTCATGGGGAGATGAAGTCTCAAGGGATGTTGTATACCAATCACATGTTTGGATGGTCAAAATAAAGCCAATGGGCAAAAGGAGGGGCAGAGACATCATTAGGTGAGGCCATGTTGTGAGGTGCGACAACTGGAGAAGCAAAGATGGGGCAGGCTTAGAGGGAGAGGCTGCCACTGTGTGGGACTTGGGGCCTCACTGTCATGGACGCTTACAGCACCGCTTCCTCCAGACTGATTTCTAGCATGTTATTTTCTGCTTGTGATATGTGGCACCCAGGGGGGCAGGGAGTACCACAAAGAGCAGAGATGCTCAGTAATTAGCCATGGCAGCTTTCAGTTTTCTCTCTATTTCTCTCTCTCTTTCTCTTACCCACCCCCTTTTTTGAGATATGGTCTTGCTATGTAGCCTTGGCTGACCTGAAACTTGCTCTGTAGACTAGGCTGGCCTCAAACTCACAGAGATCCTCCTTCCTTTGCCTCCTGAGTGTGGGGGATTAAAGGTGTGTGTCACCACACCAGCTCTCTTCACTTTCTTGTTTTTTTCTTTTTTTTTTTTTATGATGTTTATTGACTTGCATATACAGAAGTTTTTTAGTTTAATGAGGGTCCCACTTGTTGATTGTTGACCTTAATTCCTGAGCAACTGGTGTCCGATTTAGAAAGTCCTTTTACTGGCCTTGAACTCACAGAGATTAAAGGCGTGTGCCACCATGCTGGGCTTCCTTTTTGTCTTTTTGAGACAGGTCTTATGTAACCCAGGCTGTCCTTGAACTCACTGTACAGCTGAGGATGACCTTGAACTCCTGATCCTCCTGTCCTGCCTCTACTTCCCAAGTGCTTAGAATACAGGCATGTACCATCAGAGCTTGCACTGGGGATGAAACCCAGGGATTTGTGCATGCTAGGCAAACACTCAACCAACTGAGCTACAATCCCAGCCCTAGAAAAGCTTTCTTAATGAGAAACCATGATCTTTATTTTTTTATTACGATTCTTTTCTTTCTTCCTTTCTTTTTCTTCTCTCTTTCTTTCTTTCTTTCCTTTTGGCAGTCTCTCTACACATAGCCCATCCTGACCTAGAATTCGTGATCTTCCTGCCTCAGCCTCCTAAGTGCTGAGATGAGGTGATGAGGTGTGTACCACAATGCCAGCCTCTGGAATGCCTGCCGCCTGGTGCTGATCTTGCTTGGTAGAGGCATCCTAGATGCACATGGGATCCTTAGGACTTATCTCACACCTAGCTGAGGACATTTACTTGTGGTCACCCTTTCTACTTCTCATGTTGAACTGCTGAGACATTCTGAAAGCTGAGTTAGCCGCCGGCAGCACCTGTGGGTGCTGTGTGTTAGAAAACAGGAGACTCTCTGGCCACAGAGAAGTCAGGGACTATGCCTGGGGCAGTGGCAGCTTGCTGTGGGCTGGGAGATGGAGGAGAGAACATGGGAGATGAGATAATACTAGACATGAGGTTGAGGTCACTGTGTTGATTTTGAATCCTAGAGAGGTTTGCTGAGCCCTGTCCTTTCCTTCTGGAACATTTGCTAGGCCTAACAGAAAAGGGTTCAGAAGTGAAAGAAAGAAAATGACAGAGAGAGAGAGAGAGAGAGAGAGAGAGAGAGAATTTGAAAAAACAGTTCCTGATCTTGAGCTGTCTCCAATCTAGCAGGATAGAAATAAGACATTTATATGTTGAATTGGATACACACACACACACACACACACACACACACACGTATGTTAGCATACAAGTAAAGGCAAGACCATTTGGTATGAATTGTATATTTCAGCATTAAGGGAATGCTAAAACTTCAGAAATACCCTGGGGAAGGAAAGCATTCTTGGAAGAATCTAAATTTTGAGACGGGTCCTCATGAGCTGGCAGGAACTGGTTTGTTCTGACTGAGGAAGGAGCAGCAATGAAGGTACAGAGGCCAGACATGGGCAGCAGAGGCTTCTCAGATTTCATACTCTAATGTCCATACACTGGGGCATCTGTCATGGCTGAGTCACATGAACTGGTTTGATTCTGGCTTCATTGGTTACTAGTTGTGTGAGCTTGCGTGAAATGGGGCACAGTAACTGCAGCTCCTCATGGGGCCACTAGAAAGTACGCAGGACAGCTCCAGGCACATAGGTAACACTTGGCAAATGCCAGTCAGCATTTTCTTTTTCTTTTCTTTCTTTTTTTTTTTTTAACAATTATTTATTCATTTTGTGTATGGGGAGGAGGAGCACGTACATGTGTCATAACATATGTGTGGAGATCAGAGGCATTTGTGGAAATTGGCTCTCTCCTTCTATCATGTGGAACCCAGGATGGGGACTGAATTCAAGTTGTCAGGCTTGGCAGCAAGCACCTTTACCCACTAAGCCATCTCATAGCCCTGATTTTCTTTTCATGTGGAACAAAGTTTATATATATCTTGTGTGCTTCTAGGCTGATTATACCCTGTATTGTGGGAAAGAAAGATTTGGAAAAAGGAAGAAGGGAAGGAAGGAAGGAAGGAAGGAAGGAAGGAAGGAAGGAAGGAAGGAAGGAAGGAAGGAAGGAAGGGAGCCAGTTTGGGTGGTTCCAGGTTTGTAATCTCAACTACTCCTGAGGCTGAGGCTAGGAGCTGAAGTCCTGCCTGGGCTACAAAGGAAGTTCAAGGTCAGTTTGAGCAACTCAGTGAAGTTTTGTCTCAAAAAGTAATTTTAAAGGGCTGGAGAGATGGCTCAGCAGTTAAGAGCACTGGCTGTTCTTGAAGAGGACCTGGGTTCTGTTCCCAGCACCCACATGGTACCTAATAACCATTCATAACTCCAGTTCCAGGGGATCTGACACCCTCTTCTGACCACCACAGGCATTGCATGACACAATTGCCTGATACATGTGGGCAATATACTCATACACATAAAATAAAAAATATAATATTTATTTAAAAAATAATTTAAAAAATGTTCAGTGGTAGGTACTTGTCTAGTATGTGTAAGGCTCTGGGCTCAGTCCCAGTACCACAAACTAACAGACAACCCTTCCCCTCCCAACATGTGGTAGGGCCAAATGATGAACATTTAGAAGAACCAATCATAGAATTTTGATTTGAAAACAGAGCAAATGGAAAATGGCTACATGCTCTTAAGAAAGAGAGGCTGTGGTTAATCTAACAGCAATGAGTAAGATGTACCAGAACAGGGAGATGTTGAAGGCAGAAAGGCCTAGAAGATCTAATCTAACCAGACTGATTTATCCTGTATCCCCATCACCTACAATTTGATAATTTCTAAACTAATACCCAGAGAAAAAGGAAACAAAGAAAAGAAAAACACCCTATCTTGGCAACTCATTAGGAAGCAACAGAAATATACATCTTTGCCAAAGTAACCAATGGTTTTTATTTTCGGCTCCCAGACTGGCTGTATTTTTGATGAGGGCTGTCTGGAGGAACGGCACTGAGAGCCGGAAAGCCACCCACGTTCACACACATTCATTCCCCTGGAAATGACACAGGTGTGAGGAAATTTGGTTTCTTAGCCTGCTCAAGGACACTGATGGTTTCTCACTGTGGCTGGCTCTGCCAAACTCCATAAATCACTAGGAGTCATCTTGAATCTCTTCATCTTTTCATATAACAGAGATGCTCTGGAGTTTCTAGGGTGGGGTAGGCACAACATCAACTTTGCTTTCATCCTCTCTCTCAGGAGTGTGCATTCACATACAAATTCATAATCCGTACCACCTACAGCACATGCCAGAGGACAGGTGAGTCCTAACTTGGAAAGAGGCAAAACATGAAGGGAAGACAGACCCCTGGAAGAGTGGAAACAGGCAACTGCTTCTGTGGCTGATGCAGACCATGGTTCACCATGGAGATGGGAGAACTGAAGATCTTCATCTGTACATTATTTGCGATGATCAGATCCCCTCCTCTCCCAGTTACGGTAACTTGAGCGGTGCAGATGATTATCAGTCACCTGCAGACTCGATGACTCAATGTATATGAAACTCAGAAGGGGCAGGCTACAGTAATTGAAAAGCCAACAGCTCACGTTTCTTTAGTAACACGCTCATAAAAAAGGTTAGTCAAACCGCAAGACTGTAACTGCTTCCAAAGCTGCTCTGAGTCTCTGGTCCAGCTTCTAGTCAAATCACACCACGCGTTTGAATGATTCATGATACCAGCTTCAGGCAGAATAGAGGTTTTCTTCCGATGAAAATACAAATGGCAACAATGAATCCTAAAATTAGAAACCAAGGCTGCCTTGTTGGGCCATTCCTTCCTTAGAAACATTTTTTTAAAATTATTTTATGTTTTATTATTTTTATGTGTATGAGTGTATTGTCTGACTGTAGGTAAGTGCACCCATGTCGTGCAATGCTCGCAGGGACAGAAGAGGCCATTGGATCCCCTGGAACTGGGGTTATAGACAGTTATTAGCTGCCATGTGGGTGCTGGGATTCAAACCTGGGTCTTCTGCAAGAACAACCAGTGTTCTTAACCGCTGAGCGATCTCTCCAACCCTTGTTGGTTGTTTTTTAACAGGGCCTCTCTAGTCACAGCCAACCTGGAAGTCACAGTGTGAACCAGGGTAGCCTTGATCTCACAAAAATCCACCTGCCTCTGCCTCCTGAGGGCTGGGATTAAAGGCGCACACCACCACGCCCAACCCTTATGAACCTTTTTAAACATGTTGAACTCTAACACCTAGATTTTTGTAACTCTAAACTGAGCAGCTGCCCACCTGGACTGATGCAGTATGGGGAGGGCAGAAGTTGTTTGGCCTCTACGTGTCAACTGGAAGTCCAGAATCGCAGCCTGGGCATGTAGACCAGAACTCTGTCTTCAGGGTCCAGGGTCGACATCCTATGCTTAATCCATTCACT